AACAATTTAGGCTGAAACGTTTGTTTTTGAGAGCTGATGTCCCACCTGAACATCACTTGCGTCAGGGTAACACAACTGTGAAGGTCACTCTCCTGTCTCATCAACACCAGTCACCAGTGCAGGTAACCCATCACTACCTGTTCTGTCTTCTGCATCACAGGTAGTCTCCACTGTTATCAATGCTTGTTCTTACTCTCGGAGTGAATCTTGTGGTCCAAATAGCCGTTCTTCCTATCATCACATGCTCTCGTTTTTGCGCCATATAGATTAATGAACCCGCCGTAATTTCGTACATGGTCATGTGTGTATGTATGCCTGGGTTTGTTGATTCATCATCACGTCTCGAATTTTGAACTGGGGGCAAGGTTTTATAGATGCTCAGTAGTTTGATGTGTTGTTCATTGTGGGTGATTTAAAAGTGGACTCTGATAGACAAGGTCAACATACCCCGGCAGAGAATAATATTGTTGCTTCTTACTTATTATACCGGAGTACTGTGAGTGTTACCTGATGATGGCTCTTGTTGATCCTGGATTGATCACATTCTTTGTTCAAAAGATTTTAACTCTCAGATCTCTTCAATTGAAATGGTTGGATTGGGTTCTATTCTTTGCGATCAAGTTCCTCTCTCTTTCTTGTTGCATTTGGACTGTGTTTCTGTCCCTTTTGAAAGGCCTATATACGACTAAAATTGACTACTTCATTGATTGGTCTAAAGTTTCTCCTAAGAATATAGGTTGTTAACCCTCGGCGCGCATGCATTTCCTTGATGAATAATTATGCTCTCGACAATTGTTTTCAAAGTGTTATTGCTCATTATCTTGCCCCATTTCAAATCTGTGTTTCTGACTGTCTAGCTACCTGTTCATTCCTCATATCACATCAATCCTTGATGAATATGCTGTCGAGCTTGTGAAATCTTTAACCCTTTGGAAGCCATGGGGATCTGCTTAAATAAACAGAAAATTATGTATTAAACATTAGCGCCTACCCCCATATAAGTTCTTATGGACTTATGGAGGCCTGGACACATTTGTGTCTGCGGCTGGTTAACTTATGTGCTTCTTGTTTTCCTTCCCATTCTCTGAATATTTTGTTAGCTAGTTGGTTGGAGGGATGGTGCTCATTTGCTGAAAGGAGATGCTAATTTTTGGTGCAAAGTGTGGATGGAGGCTGGGTATCCTTCATCTGGTCTGCTCTTTCAGAAAAGAACGCATGAGGCATTTCAACTACAAAGTGCGTCGTCTTAGGTGCAGAAATCAACATCACTTATATACTGTCTAGGCTTGCTGGTACTTTGTCCAGAAAGCAATCTAGTAACTTTTGGTCAGTTGTCCTTTCCCTCAGTAAGTCTAAGCACAATAACAATCGTATCCCCACTGTTCATCGAATTAGTGGTGAGATAAATATTGCAGATCTGTTGGCATCTAAGTGAGCTATATAGCTACATGCTCGATTGAATACACACTGTCGTGTTTCTGCTGATATCTTACACAATCTTCTTGATTATTCTACATTTCACTGTCAGCTATCAAATGTTAAGGTGCCTGCTAATAATGTACTTGTTGCTATACAGTCTATAAAGTCTGGCAAGACTTAGCTACTTTGATTGTGTCTTCCAAGTATTCTGCCCCAGTTATTGCTGATTCCATTGCTGCACTCTTTACTGCCATCATTTGTCATGCCTGTCAAGTTTCCGTGATTCTGTGTTCATCCCTATTCCAAAGAGTTGCAGTGATCTTTCATCCAGTGATAGCTATCGTCCGATATTGCTTACTTCCAGTCTGAGTAAAGATTTGGAGGATCATTCTTGATCAATACTCTTCCTTTTTTTATTAGTCATTCTTTACCATTAATTGGTTTCAAGCCAGGTTGCTTCTTCCATACTCAATACACTGGTATTGTGAAGTGTATAGTTTCCAAGTATCTTCATACGTCTGTGCTTTGGTGTTTTCTTGATGCTAGTGAAGCTTTTGACTTGGTTGGCCACCGCTAATTATTTCAAAAGACAGGACTCCCTTCTCCAATCCGGTGTTTCCTGTTTTCTTTGTTTTGTACGCAAGAGATGAAAGTTCAGTGGGGTTCTTGCATTTCTCAAGGTTTTAGTGTGTCTAATGGTCTTCGCAAAGGTGGTAAAAGTAGGCCGGCGAGCGGCGCTTTATGTAACTATCTAGGCTCCGCATGCGACATTGCGTTCCAAAGTAGACGCAATCATGGGACGATTATACGCCCATGATTGAATCATGGCACGACTATACGCCAAGATCCCACCATGGGGGAGTTTTTTAACGTAGGTTGCAACCCACGTAAAACCCCGTCTGGTAGAAAGGGATGCTCCTACAGTGGCACGGTTTTACGCGACTTGGTAATGATCCTCAAAAAGCCGGGGCGCCCTCCAGGATTGCGACCTTTGACCTCACGTAAAACGGCCCGGCAACTACTCTGCAAGGCTTTTGCGTCGTCAACTCTAGACCTTTGACCTCACGTAATATCATGCCAGAGTCCCTTTTACTCTCGCGCACGCAGAGTCGCGACACACCCACCTAGTGTGCGCATGCGCGTGTGGAGAATGCGCACCAGAAAGAGGGTTGGGAACAAGATCAAAATGAGGACTGGGCTCAACACAAAGAAGATGGTTGTGCACGTTTGAATTATGAAATTCTTCGTTGTATTGAGAATGCAGCACTCTCTGCTGCCTCCCCAACTGCTCCAACTGTGGCGGCCACCTTTGCCCTGCGGTGCACTTGGAGCGTTCTGATATGAACGAACGGGGAGGGGGGGTGAGTACACGATGTCCCGACGCCGTAAGGCACGACGTGCACCCCGGAATCTTCCAAGCAACACAGGTACGCCTGGGTAGTAGAAGACTGCTATGCCAAGCGACAGGCACGAGCAGTAGAGACGCTAGAACCAACACGTTTGTTTTGGAAATGTCCTACGAACTTCGCGCGGGACTAATGAATATGCTTTTGCATAATGTTTGTGGAATTATGGGCGCGAGAGGAACCTTCGGCGTTCTTCTGTCGTATGGAATAACTCTTTCGGTCACGAAATCGGCTTCTGCGCCCGATCGGCGTTTTTTCAGCAACTCTCTGCACGCATGCCCAAATCGACACACCACTTTCATCCTTCGCACGCGCGCTGTGGCGATCTTTCTTTCTCGTTTTACAGACATACCCACAGCCTCTGTGCCTGCCTTTCATCCTGCTGAAACATGTCTCACTCAATCAGGACCTTTTTTCCTTTTTTTACTGAAAGGGTAGATGAAAGCTTGATGAGTGCAGATGACCACTTCTGAGGATGCGTGGGTGGTTTTTACCAGATAATTCCGCCCGCCTACCGAGTCAAAGTTCACAATTGTGTTTTTGTTGACGTTCCTATAATTATTACTAGTAGGTGAATGCGCGGCATTTTTGGCGAGCGGGGGCGATTTAACGATTGTGTGCATGCGCAAAAAGCTGTTGATTCCTGTGTAGTAACTGTAGTCGACCCTCTCTCTCCTCGGCAGACTCGGCGGCAATTCGCCTTGGCTGATAGCTTCGGATCTGTTGGAGCCTTGCCTGTTGCGTTTCCTCTGATTCCGCAGCACGTGTAGCCCTTGCTCGTACACGACTTCTCGCTAGTTCTGCTTCCGCTGTTTCCGTGGCCAGGCGTTGCCTTGCCCGTTCCCTATCACGCAGTCGGCGTCGAGAAAGACGAGCCTCTCTTTGCTCAGAAGTCTCACTGGCACGACGTTCTCTTTCCCTTTTTCATCGACGACGAAGGGCATCTTCCCTAGACCGATCCATCGCAGAAAGTGTGGTTAGCTTCCTCGATATACGGTGTGAAATGTTTTTCGGATAAAAAGAAGCGCGTGGATGACGTACGCGCGGTCGTATATAAAATCGCGCCGTTCAAACCACTAGGTTAGCTCGCTCCCGCTCGGCAATTACAGGAGTGTGTAAATTTACAACATTTTGTTGACCGAAATGGATAAAGTGTGACAGAGATCTGCGCAGCGAAGGTTACGGTATACTTGTCCCGTATGTGTGTCTGTCTGTCTGTCTGTCAGGTTACCACGTTTTCTGCCACCACGCGCAGCGAGACAACGAAAGAGCGATACCAAAAGGTTGAGCACTACACTGGCTGGATTTATCTTTCGCTGGCTAAACTAGCATATACGTTTCGCTGAACTCTACACTCGAAAGATAAATCTAAACGCTAGTTGAGCGGGTATCCTGACTGCACCAACCGCTGGTAATTATACCGATCCCTCCGCGGCTGCGCATGTTACACTGTCGCGCGTTTGTTATTCACATGCATGTGATTTGCAACTTTAGTGTTGGGCAGATATGATGCTGTTGGCAGTGCTTCCGCCCAGATCTTGTCATCGACCCTAAGAGCTAATGTTGAGCGCATTCAACATTCAGTTAGGCCTTGAATCTCTATTATAGAGGCTTACTCTCCTTGCACAAATTTTTTCAACCATTATCCATGCCATTATTACTTTTAATGTACACCTATATAAAGTTTGCTTTTCATTGATGAAGATAAGGAAATAGATATTCAGATCCGTTTGGAAACAACCCATTCAACTTTTACTTAAATCAGGACAAGAGCAAGAGGTTCCTCTGCTCTTTGGGATTGATGCTGCTTTATTTATGCACAGGGTTCATAAAATGCGAAATACACCAAGGTTCGTCGAAGTCAAAGCCCTTTCTTTGCGATTTTATACTACCAAATGACAAAACTAAGAAGCCTGATATACGCCTTCATGTTTGGACTTACAGAAAAATTAGGCATTTCATGAAGGACTGGCAGTCAAGGTAGTACAAAATTTCATTTGCACAACCTTAACTCCATGTTTAGCATCTCATTTCTACTATATACCGCTGTTTGCACATTGCCGTCTTAAAACATCTCTCGAAAACATGTTTTGCTTCTGTCCCTATTATACCCCACCCATTAATTTTATTATGTTCAGAACCATTATGTGATGCCTTGTTTTTTTCTGTGCATAGTTAAAAATGGCACTAAGTGAAGTGATTGCTAAGGAAGGTCTTTCTGAGAGATGGGTGGAGATATTTAAAGATGAACTGGGTATTAAAACTATACAAGGATTGAAATACATTGGAAAAGAGTCTTATCCATTACTTGTGCAATTTGTAACCGAGCCATTAGAGAAAAGATACTTGTTGAAATTACTGGGAATCGAGGCTGCTGAAAAACAAAGCCTAACAATTAATTGTACTAAGATGTTTTTAGGAAAAAAGGAAGAGTTGGAGAAAGCATTGAAACAATTAAGAAATCTGCAAGGTCTTAGAAAGTATCGGCAAGACAGTGATGTCCAAGCCGTAGAAAGCGTTTGCCAAGAAATTCTTCAAGTGCCTGAAGGTGCATGGTTTGGAGAAAGTTTAATATTAGATGAAGTAATTGAAAATGTTTGTGGAATGATAAGGTGTTTTGAAAAAGCCCATGAAGATGAAGATTCAAATGAATTGCCATTCTTATTACAAGTATCAGGTGGACTTTCATTAGATTCCGTAGGCGGCATTGTATTGAAAGGGGTTTGGGTCATAGAAGAAGCAAGTAACTTCGTACTGCGTAGCAGTAATATGCTAAAGGCCCCAACTGATATTCAGTTAAATTTCCCATTGCGTCCACAGTTTACTGAAACAAAGCATTTTCAAAGTAGAGAGCAGGAAAGGGAATTCTTTGACCAACTAGCAAAAACTGGTTATTCGATGCCTACGACAGATAAGATGAACATAATAAGAGCAAGCCAAGCCTACTGTTCTACGATACGCTATTGTTTCATGCCAATGGCTACATACTATTTTGATAATGATCAACTCTACCTTTCTGATTATGCTTTGTCAAGTCTTTCTGAAATTGACCGCTTAATAACAGGTGATAAGGCAGTAGAAAAAGGTTGCCAAGCGTTTTTTGAAGAATTTGGTTCACACTGCCTGCAAGGACCATTTCATTTTGGAGGTCTATATATTTGCAAATGCTATAGCTCTGGGTTCCCTAGTTTTTCCAATGTTAAAGAGTTAAAAAGGATACAGGATGAAGTGATTAATGCACAAATGCGAATGTGTTTTTCCCCCTGTTATGAAGAGATTTGTGTCTCTCAACTTAAGGGGATATCAGGACAAGAGAGATTAAAAAATAATGTCAAGTTGCAAGTTATTACAGTCGGTGGACCTAAAAGAGCATGTGGTTTTCCTGACTGGAAAAACAGCCTGAGTGGAAGCAATTGTAGGTGGAAATTGATTGATTGTGGCATATCAAAACTTCCTGTGTGGGATATTATTGTTCTTAATCACAAAAAGCACTTTAAAAATGTTGAGAAACTAGCATCGATGTTAAGGCAGTGCTGGAAAAGGTCTGTTATGAAAACTAATGAAGGTGGTAATGATAGTCTTCACAAAAAGTTTAGTAATTTTGTGAAAAGCCTACAACTAGAAGAAGCAATGGTACAAACACAACTCAATGCATTAGTTACCAAAAGAAAAGAAGTAGAACAGCTAACATGTGATCCTAGAGCATGGGCTTTGGAATATCTCCCAATCCTGCAGGAATACTTCTGTTTCATTATAAAAAACTGCAAAGTTGACAAAATTAAGTCACTGCTTAAACTTGTTGTTGAACCAGTGGATCTGGGACTTACTGCAATATTCCCATTTGAGTCAATGGGATACACATTGAAGTGCATATATGGCACTGAAAGAGAGCTACCTCAACTACTCTGTGATGACTTTGTACACTTTGGCAGGTATATTGATCAAGCTGTAGCCATAGTATCATCAATGCCTGGTGTTCCATGTCCATATCTTATTGCTAAAGGAACCTCATTGGTTGAGAGGGCAGTACAATTACTAAGACAGCACCTTCTGAGAGCTGGACAACCATATGAGGAATGCTTGTTATTAACAATTCTTCATGCTCAGAAATACAACCCGGAAAACCAAACATTTTTAGCTCTTGTTTCAAGGAAGGATTTTGAAATTTTGAACCATCATTTCAAAGCATGGTCACAGAATTTTTTTACACTTAACCAACAAAGTGATTTACAAAAGCAATCATATTTAATGTACCTAACCGTACATGTCAGTCACACAATGGGTGGAACTGAAGAGTGTATTGATTTTCATGTTAAGTTCTTACAACAAAAGCTCAATCTAATGCCTGAGATACAATCCATTCTTAAACCAGGAATAGACTGGGAGAATTTTCAGACGGTAATGAAAGATATGTGTAACGGTGCTGTCATTGATCAAAATAGGGCGAAAAATTCACTCCTACCAAGTTCTGAGATAGAACAACAAAACCAAGTTGAAGTGTTGAAGCATCCAGTAGAAAAGCACCAACATATATTAGCTACACAACCCCCACCCAAGCCATTAAGGAAGCCACTTCAACCACAAACACGCAAGGTTCCACCACTAAAAAACACAGGTGAACATTTCAGTATGACAGGTATGGAGCTAAAATCTTCAAAGCAAACAGAGAACATTCCAGATCAATTTGAACAGCATACAAGAATTGGACAAAAACAGTCAAGGAGCCTCAGTACACAGCATCAACTAACCCCCCCAACTGAACACCCAATTAGCTTTTTGCTTGAAAAGGTGGGACTAACTGATTATTATCCTCAAAAACTTTCTTGTAGAGATGCAATTGAAATTCGAGAAGATACAATAAACCTTGCTAAAAACAATTGCTCCCAGCTTTATCCGTTCATTATGCTCCAGAAAATCATGGCATTTGATTCTAAATGCAGAATTCCATTACATGGACTGCAACACAATGAATCAGTTTCTGATAGTGATTCCGATTCCGACTCAGATGAAAGTGAGAGTGGTGACTCTATTCATCCAATGGATGGTCTACTTGCTCTTTTACTGTGTTGTGATACTTTTCTTCGTCAGGATCTCTTCTGCAGAATGGCTACCAGTCATATTTCTGTACCTCTTCTTCTCCCCAACCCTCACACTGGAGATCCCACACTATTATTGTGGGCGCTGAGGTCAATTGTAAAAGAATTTAAATTACCAGATGGAAAAACATACAGCGGGCGCATTATTTCCTATCAAACCCCATTTGTGTCATTTTTAAGAGTGGGCAAGCACTCCATTTCAAAATCAGAAATTTTAAATGGTGTAATAAACAAAACCAATTCAGATAACAAAATTGAAGCTTTCATTGGATATAACTCTCCTGGTGGAACAAGTTGCAAACGTTTAGTGAAAGGTTTGGTTGAACTTACCTGGTACCTTCCTGGTAATGGACTATTTTCTCAACCTATTGCATTCACTAACTTAAGGGGTGATGCCTGTGATCCAGATCTTCAGAAGCAGGTAAACGTTCTTTGCTCTATATCTACTGTGTCTGTTGTATTGCTTGCAAACAATATGTTGGACGAAGATGCTTCCAGAGGTTCAACCATCAACCTACTGAAACAACTTTCCCAAGCTCCAGAAGGATTAATTATCCTTCAGAGTAAAAAAGACAAAAAAGGATTTAAAAGTCAAATTTCAGGGTGTATTGGTGAAACTCTCTTCAAAACAAAATGTACACTTGTTAACTGTGACAAAAGTGTAACTGTCTTTCTTGAAAATTTGCAAACAAAGATAAAAAATAAACTACAGACTACTAATGTACAGCCCTCATTAGTAGAAATGGCTAAGAAATGTAACATAACTATCGATGAAGATGTCTTTGAATGTGTTAGAGGAAGGCAACTTATGGAGCAGCTTTTTAAAGTTGTAGAAGATCATCGAAGGCAGAATCCTACAAAAGTCCTAAGGACTTACTTCCTCTCCAGAGTGAAAAGTATTGGCATCGATGGGCTGATTTAGATAAGGAGCAGTACAGACAGAAAAGGAAATACCAGCATGAAGTTAGTAGGGTACACTGGCAGGAGAAAGAAGAACCGAGAGAGAGACAACGAAAAGTGGACTGGACAGCAATGGAATACGGTGAAGAACAAAGAAGAAGAATGAACGAAATAAGAATAAAACAATACCCTCTTGCAACAAAGAGTAGCGGTTTACTGTTTTTATTTCTGGAAACTCTCAGAAAAGAGGAAAAGAAAGTATTACAGTACTATATGATATGGTTAAAGTTCAGATTGGATGACCTTTCTAGGGATATATTGCCTCCCTTTTATGTGGATATTCGAAAGAAACGTAAGGAATTAAGTGATATTCAACAGAAACATGATGAAGTAGCGGAGAAAAAATGTCAGGCAGAACTAAAGCATCTTGATCATCAATTGCTCCATGCCTCATTTGGACTAGAGCATCTATTTAGAGAAGTTGGCCAGATGTATGAGGCTGTGGAAGAGCAGACGGATGCAACAAATGAATTAATCGGATATTTACCACAAATGGCAGCACAATTATTATATGATGGCTTTCCACTTGAATTGTTAGACGGTGATGCATCCCACATTCCTAAAAAATGGATATCAATGGTTTTTAATAGCCTAGCTGAAATTTTGCAACAAAAACATGGTTTTGACCCCCATGTCTACATATTATCAGTCCTTGGTGTTCAAAGCACTGGAAAGTCAACATTACTTAACACAGTTTTTGGAGTCCAGTTTAGTGTCAGTGCCGGGAGATGCACACGTGGAGCATTTATGCAACTAATCCCTGTCCATCATTCCCTGCACAAACAAATGGGAGTTCAGTACTTTCTTCTGATTGATACTGAGGGTCTAAGAGCCCCAGAACTTGATAGACTTGAAGTACGTGAGCATGATAATGAGCTCGCAACCTTTGTCATTGGAATGGCGAACCTTACACTTATTAATGTATCAGGAGAAGTATCAGGGGATATAGATGATATTCTTCATACTGTAGTTCATGCATTTCTTAGAATGAATCAGGTACAACTGAAACCCAGCTGTCGCATTATCCACCAACATGTTGTGGCTGTGGGAGCAGATGAAAAGTTGATGCAGGGACGCCTGAAAACAAAAGACAATCTTGACAAAATGACCAAAGCAGCTGCAAAAGAAACTGGTGTTGAGGTGCATTACACACATTTTTCTGATGTCATCAAATTTGACCATGAATACGATGTCTCATTTTTTCCAGATCTCTGGAACGGTAAACCTCCAATGGCAAGAGTTGATTCTGGGTATAGTGAAGAAGCTCAGCAATTAAAACTGAGCGTAATAGCCAGCAGCAGAGCCATTGCAAAGCATTCTGTTCCCAACATTAACACACACTTGCAAAGATTATGGAAAGCCATACTTCAAGAAGATTTTGTGTTTACATTCCAAAACACTTTTGAAATAATTGCTTTCAAGACGTTGGAAGGAAAATATGGGGATTGGTCATGGTATTTCAAAAGTGACATGAGTGAATGGGAACGAATGGCAGAAAAGAAACTATGTCGATGCTCACCAGAAGAAATAGACCACGCTCGTGCAACACTTCTGCAATCATTACAACAATTTTCTCACGAAAAACATCAGAAGTATGAGAAAATGATGCTTGATTATTTCGATGAAAGCAATAATGAAAATATGTTGAAATGGAAGCCAGATATGATGCCAAGACTACAGCATTTATGCGACACACTAGAACGGCATGCAGACGAACACTGTACACAAGTCTATCAAGCCCAGAGGGATCGTACTGAAGCCGATAATGAAAGAGGGGAGCTTAATACCATGATTCTAGAGCGTATTCAGCAGTTGATAGTAACTCTTGGAGAGAGAAAAGCAACAAAGGATGAACTAATAGGAATATTTGATGATCAATGGTGTCAATGGATGAAAAGGTTAACATCTAAATTAAAGTCTTTTGTACAACCCGATGTTGCAAAAGAAGTTGAGAATTGCCTAAATAGAGAATCTTCATCTGATCAGAAAAAATATGTTAATGAGAAGTTGGGAGATAAAGAATCTGGTAAGCAGCTGCGAAAATGGGGGGTACGCTTAGTACTAACAATCCAAGAGCATCACATCAAGGTCCTCCAACCATCCATCTGGGGAACAAACCTCATACCATTTTGGAATAAAATGCCAAAAATTCAATCTTTCTTTCCTTTAGCTCAACAACACACATCAACTACTTTAAGTGCAGTAGAAGCCTCTTTGAAAAAAATAAAACACTCTGATAGAAACTTCAGTCCTCAGTTAGTAACAGAACTCATTCATCTCATAAAAGAGAAGAGAAAGGTACAGTTGGAAGGCTTTAAATTCACAGACGAATATGATGTTGACCTAGCTCTTACAGCATGTGGGTACGCCATTTCATTCTTTGAGAAGATGGCAGAAGCGTTTAGGAGAAAACACGATCCTAAAGTATATGTTGAGTTTGAAATGAAGCCTCAGTTCCGGAAATTATTTTTGAATATGTACGACAAAGTTGGTAACGAGAAAATAGTAGCAGACACATTATGTTACCAATTGGAAGAGCCAGTTAAAGCGTTTGTTATTGAGAGCCTTCCCTCAAAAATTGTTAGTGAAATGAGAGGCAAATATCCCTACATTAAAGACAAGCAAAGTTTCATTGCAAATATTCTTCTCGAGATAGGTGAAATGCTAAATAATCAATCAGAGGATGGATTTAAGCTTTGTATATGTTTTTTTAACTGATGTTAGGGCAAGTATTGAGTGGTGGTCTGCTCACTTTGTTCAGAAGCACTGTAATTCTGGTTCCCCTCCACGCCTTTATGAAATCGCAACAGACGAATTAAATGATATAATTGATCTTATAATTGAAGGGGCGAAGAAGGTAACTGCTTCTCGTGAATCTTTTTCCATGAGTGAATGGCTACAAGAGTTTCATTCTGTTGCATTGGAAGGAAAGATAAACCTCAATCAACAGATATATACTACAAGCCAAGAATTTTCTGATGTAAAATTCTTTACAAAAGAAGTTATTAGAGGGCTTAATGAGTTAAAGAAAAAAAAATTAAACCAATATTTTTCTGAAAATGGATATTTAGATATTCTAAAGCGAGAACTACCTCATGAAATTATATTCGAAATGGTAGCTGGATGTACAGAGCAGTGCCCATTTTGCAAAGCACAATGCGAGCTTACTTCTGACAAACATTCCACAAATATTAAACACCAAACTCAACACCGTCCTCGATGTCTTGGGGGTAGACGCTGGGAGGGACAAAATACAATGGTCTTAGATGTTTGCACTTATTCTGTTTCTTCTGATTCTGATACTTGCTTCAAAACTGAACGTTCGGAATGGAAATGGCACGCATATAAGGACTATGTAAAAATATATCCAGAGTGGACAATTCCTGCAGATAAATCCCTAGAATCGTCTTTATTTTGGAAGTGGTTCATTGGAAACTACTCAAGCAAAGTTGAAGATTTCTTTGGGCACGAAGAAACTGAAATCCCAAGTGAATGGAAAAAATTAAAGTGGGCAAATGTCAAGGAGTGGCTTAAAAAAGAATACCATTTGTAACAGCTAATGACATTGATAGCTAAGTAACAGCAGAGTTTGTGATTTACACATCACTAGTAACATTATTGTAGTATAAACATTTATTTCTGGAAACATGCAAAACATTTTTGGCGTTATGTGAATAACTATGAGAGTCAGAGTTGCGATGTGATGTAGAATATGCTCTATGTAGGGATGTCTAAAGTTTAATCTCTGTTAGCCTCAGATATCTGGGAAAAGAGACTTGTAAGACTTTAGAACATAGTACTGCTAAGTAAAAGTTTTGTGCAATCTTGCATAATTGGTCCTATGGGGTTAGGCTTGAACACCTTGTACACTGTCTTTCTTTCTGTGAAACCGCTGGGTCTCTGTTGCTTGCAAAGGGCGAGTCAAGATGAAGAGTTTAGTGAAGTCACTGTCATAAAGTGATAGGGCCTAACCTTCCATTTTTGTGTTTTGGGTATTGCAGCAATAGGGTATGTGAACTACCGTTGGTAAGTCGTCTCCTAGATAAGTAGGAGCTTAACTAGTAAAAATGGCTGTGAAACCAACCCTGGGACCTCTAAATTTGAATTCACACAAGTTGTGAAACTTTCTATGCTTAATTAAAACACTTTGCGCGCCGCGTAATTTCTCCACGTACGCGGAATCACGCATGCGCGGAATATTGCCACGCCCATCCGCCTAATAAATAATTCCGCGCCACTAAAGTGCCGCGTGGCGTTGCTGAGCAATTACGCGCGCGCCATCTAAGTGGCGCGCGGCGCCCATAGTGTTAAAGATGCTTAAGCGTAGTAAGGCTGTGCATTATTTGTTGCAGTCCTCCAAATATTACCGAAATATTCAGCCCGATTTCTTACCTGCAATTGTTGTCAGGTGACCGTGACTCGATAAACATTTAACAAAATCGTTCATCAAATTGGTGATGTGCAGAATGTAGAATTACTGATTGAAGGACCCTAACGTGGGAGTAATAGTCTACTACACAGGATCTAAAGTTTCAGCCTACTACTTTTTAGGGAACCTTCACAGGAAAGACACCCCGTTTACGCGTAGTGTGACGGACATCCGTGCATACGGTTATATACGCCCGCGGACTAGAACGGAATTTCACAACCATGGACCGCTTGCTGGGCGAGAACCGCGGGAGTCTCTATGTACGCGCGGGGTTAGCGCGGATACAGTTCCAGACCTGTCCACTCGCGGGGATACCGTTCTTACGTAGGGTATATCCACTCTGTGTGGGAGTTAGGGCGCCACTCACTGCCGTCTCTGTCACTGCCAAAAGTTCGCCAGCTATTACAAAACATACTGGAGAGCTAGGGAGGTGATCAACGACAAGTGCATTCTTTTCAACTATGTAGCTCCCAAAGAGGACTTTGTGGAGAGATAAATAGCTACTTAGGCGTAAAAACTGATCCTGCGAGGTCGGCCGTTGATCCCCTCCTCTACAGACTTCTGTCCCCTTTGTAACTCAGCAACTGAGGACGCCTCCCACCTCATAGCGAACTGCCCTGCCCTAACTCCCGCACGTCATCCTCGGCACCGAGTGGTTGGACGACACCCCTGTGCAGCACGCATGCATTGAATTTCTTCACCATATTCTATCTGCTCGTACGCGACTTCTATCCTGATTCACTTCATCTTCGCCCGCACCTAGGGCTACTCTCCTTCAGTGGAGGTTATAAAGAAGAAGAAGAAGAAGAAGAAGAAGGTACCGCTAACTGATGGGCTGGACTATTTGTAGTATGCGTTTACTCGTGGTCTCCCGCTAGTAGCTCGCGGAGTGTCTGACACGGGCTAGCGACAGTAGATAGCACGTGGGAGTCGATGCACGCCCTTGGTTGTGACTTCTTGTGCCTTCAAGATTCACAGAGCAAGCGGATAAGGTCGAGGTAAGCCTGTGCTAATTAGCATATTGGCTTGTTCACTTGGTTTTCACGCCATAAGCAGTAGTTTTACGCTTTTCGCTTGTTTTCGCGGCATGTCTGTCTGAGACGGGCTAGCTACACAAGCAGATAGCATGCGGGAATCCATTAACGCCCTTAGTTGTGACTTCCCTCCATGTTACTCAGAGCAGGCGGATCAGGTCGCGGTAAGCAAAGTGCCATATTTTCGCTTGACCCACGGCGCGCATGCACAGCGATGGTTATGGTACTTGGTTTGTAAGTGTGTCTCTCTGTCCGTTACCACGTTTTCTGCGACTACGCGAAATGAGATAACATATCAACGGGTTCGTCGCTACTCTGGCTTCATTTTAAAACGTTTCGTATAACTGCTGCGTTCAAAGTTATGGCGTGAAAAGCAAGTAAAGAAGCCAATATGCAAATTAGCACAAGCTTACCTCGTCCGCGTCCGCTCGCTCTGTGTATCTTGCAGGCACAACAAGTCACAACGACGGGCATGTATCGACTCCCGCATGCTATATACTACTGTACCTAGCCCGTGTCAGGAGCTACTGGTGGGATAGCACGAGTAAAGGCATACAAAGCCCAGCCCATAAATTTGTGCTACCGCACATGGGCAATTTGCGGAGGGTTTGCACTTTGTTTGGTTTGTGCTATTTTTATATTTACTGCAACTGACCTATTAGTTTTAGCAGACTAGTTAGCTGATGGTTTGAGTGACGATATAATGTGTTACAGGCTGATTATGCAATATGCAAAGTGATCTATTATAACACAAAACACAAAGGGCAGAAATAAAACTGGTCCCTATCATTCAGGCAAGTCCTACTTCATCTCTATCATAGTATTATAGGCATCCTTGGAGCCTTAAAGCTTGGCACAGCATGCAGACCTGCACTCGAGGTATCTGGATGGCACAAGAGGAAAGAGGGAGAGGAAACGATTCTTATTGCAAGAGGAGAAAGAGAAAACGAAGTTGGAATGTGAAAGAAAGAAAATGCAGGGAGAGGCTCAGACGGAAAAAGCACGTGAGCTGTTGTAGTTGAGCCTGCACAATCTCTCACATGCACTTCAATGTTTTTTGTGTCACTTGCACCAAGTTTTGAGCACACTCCTTTGGCACTAGGTGGTTCCCAGTCTTCGGTTGTGGGTAACTCGAGAAGTGGGCAATATTCAGCAGAGCTTCAAGCCAAGAGAATGGTACATTAATTTCTAGCAAACAATTTTGGACGTTTCTCTGCCTTGGCATTAGTTGGCGATCAGTCTAGAAGTGGGTCGGATGAAGAAGAGCTGCAAGCCCAGGAGAATGGTACACATATGTCTTTTGAACAAACTTCACGTCTCTCTCTCACACTAGTTGGTCGTCAGTCTGGTTCTGATGGAAAAGGAGACGCTGAGGAGCGGTCCATATATACCTGAAACTCGCAGCCGTACGAGAACGCAAACCGGTTTGTTGTATGTATAGAATTATTTTGTGTCTATACACTTGTTCCACAGGTACTGGTGCATTTCAACCCGCTTCAGTGGGACGTGGCAGAGGGAGGCACAAGTCTAAAACTTCAAGGTGGAAAGTTCTTATGGATAAAAACTTTTAACACTCTCCCACGACACTAGTTGGATGTGCAATGTGAACCTTTGAACCCGACGGCGACACGTCACACGTGCTATGGAGAATTGCCATCGTATGTTGCCAAGGCCTCGGATGTGAGCCCAGAATTTGATGTATTGGAGTGGTGGAAGCGTAACAGTGATGGCCTACCCCACTGGCAGCAAGGAAAGTAGCTACTAGTAGTGTAGCCATCGTCTGCTGCAGCAGAGCGAGTTTTTTTTGAATTCTCTCAAATTCTTTCACAGATCAACAGCAGCACTCTTTAGAGGACTACGTAGAAGCTTCTGTTATGTTACAGTATAACCAACACTAATATGTCTGTCACTACTGCCTATTCATGACAATGTTTTTTCAACCTATCATTTACCATTGGGCATAATGGGGAAAAAAAACTGAGCATAATTGGTAAAATTATCAGGACTAAAGGAATAGCATAATAGGACATAAATAAAGCATAATGTGCCTGAGCCTATGCCAACGCCTTTTGGCCTTTGCAAGCACGTGTGCAGCTCCGACTGCGCATGCGCAAAAACGTTTGCCAAGAAAATTTAGACCGAGATTGAGGAATGTAGATCTAGCACTGACGATCAAGGATTGTTATATACGACTGAGAACCTGACCAAGGATCGAGGAGTGTAGAGAGAGGATCAAGGTACGATGACGAGGATCGAGAAGTGTAGATCGAGGATCGAGGAGTGTAGATCGAGGATCGAGGAGTGTAGATCGAGGACCGAGGAGAATAGATCGAGGATCGAGGAATGTAGATCGAGTAGCTATATCGATGACGCTTGGTCAAGATAAAGTTATCGAATTTTTGTCCATAACAGCGTTCCATATGGTGGAACTTGTGCATTTCACCACCCTGACCTCCAGGAAAACTGTCCTGCAGGCATGATTTCCAATGGACAGCAGTGCCTGCTGATCTAGGTGCATTGGAGCATCCAGTTTAGTTTATGCATATGCTTTGGGAGCTGGAAGGGCCTTGATTTTGAGGTATTGACATAAACACAGATGTATTTTTTTTTTTAACAGCTCACTCCTGGAAAGACGCACCTCAATGGGACGTGGCAGAGAGAGGCGCAAGTCTGGAGTTCAAGGTAGAAAATTCTTATGGACGAACACTTTCAACACTTTTCCTCGACACTAGTTGGTCATCAGTCTAAAAGTGGGCCAGATCCAGCAGAGCTGCAAGTCCAAGAGAATGGTACGAACATTTCTAGTGAATACTTTTGGACGTCTCTTCTCCTCGGCACTAGTTGGTGATCAGTCTAGAAGTGGGCAGGATCCTGAAGAGCTGCTAGCCCCAGCGAAAGGTACACACATCTCTAGTGACAATTTCTCTTTCCCTCTGCACTAGCTGAATGTCAGTCTGGTTCTTCCAATATATCTATGTGTGCATAACTGATAGACGTTTCCTTTTAGAGCCTACGGAGTGCACCCTGAAGTTGTGCAGGCACCCAAGAGCATACAAGTGGGTTCAGTGGGAATACTGCAACAAATGGTTTCATTGTGTGTGTGGGGGCGTGAAGCCTACCCAGGCGAAACTTAATAGTTACCGATTCAAGTGTATGTTTTGTTGAAAAGTCACTGAGCTACACTCCGCGCAGGCGCCGACAGATCAGCCTTGCCCTTGTCACCGCGCTAGTCGACTGACCCCGCCAAAACCTAGGCAGCACTACACCGCAGCCCTGTTGTCAGTTTTAAGATGATGAGGCTTGCTGGGGATTAGCTAGAACGCTGCCTAGATGGGTAAGGTTTCCTCTGTGTGTATGCCAAGATTATGCGGAAGTTTGAGCAGATTAGTTGGTTCGTTGGCTTTTGTCGCACGCTAGGCTACCTCGAAGATTCGAGTGAAGGCCCTAGTTTACTCATAGGAGCACGTAAAACGTGGGTCTGGCCATCAATGGCCATGTTAAAATATGGTTGTGGGCGAAAATATTTTTGCTTAGTCATATGTCGTGAGTCGTGGGCAAGAGCCGAGGGGGCCGGGCAAGAATAGCACTAGACTAAGAGTGTCCCACTAATGTAATTATTGTTTTAGCATGAAATGTTAATAACGGTTGGCGACGGCGTATATAGAAGTTCATGGTGTCCGAACATCGGTGGCTTACTCTAGAAGATGAATCTGTTCTGTACCAGGCTATGCATACCCCATCTACGGATGATCTTAGACTGAGCAACATCGCACATTCTTCCCTGACTATTACTGTCACATATCACCACTCCTGCAACATGTGATGCATATGTTACATTATATTACTACTTACTGAGAATGCTGTTCAATTCAGCAATGCATAGCAACATGCACACAACCCACTGAGAGTTTAACACTTTAGTGGTGATTACAACAGACTGACATGTTTGGAAATTAAATGATGAGGGCATGCAACAAAGGTGTTTGCAGAGCTTCCATTAAGGTAAATGGGGGTAACTCCTGACGCGGATGTAACTCCGGACATGGGGTGTTGCACCAGCCTCGAAATTATGCGCTGCGAAAAAAACCCGAGGAAGATTTGTTAGCGCTTTGGCAGGTAGTAATCAAGTGAAATATATCCGAATCTTTCTCTTGTTTTCTCAATAGCGAGTTGTGTCCGGGTATTACCCTGTGTCCGAAGTTACCCCCATTTACCTTACCACTAGGTGGTGCTAAAGTGAGAGTTGCTCACAACAGCCTGGGTTTGTTGTGGTGTAGATTCGTTGGTAGTAGGTGCTCTTTTTGCCCTTTTAGAGAGGCTAAGGGTGTCATACACAGAATGCTCGCTTGTATGAGTGAACACCATCTACGCTGCGATGCCCAGTCCGCTCCTGCAGCATATAAGCGGGTGTCACTCGTTGCACATAGTGAATGGTTTGTTGAGCCAGCTGATTTCCACATAAACTTGTTCATTGCTGACCATCGACAGGGGATTGTATGCCACCACATCCTTAGGGATATATGTTTGGAAGAGGATATCGAACATGGCCTAGTAAAATTGGCACGACTCCTCATAATACTTCAACAACAAATGGTAAAATGGAGCTATCACTACCAGCATTCTATTTTGCGTGTGGTGGCAGAAAACATGGTAACAGACGGACAGACAAGTATGTATCCCTCGCTGCGCATGCGCATGGCAGTGTGTTATGCTTCATTGTATATACACACCAACACTACCCAAATACACTATAGCACGTGACCAAGTTTGTGCTGCGTGCTGTTGTTCTGTTGCATCGCACTAAGGCAGGCACAGAGAGATGGAGACTACTTCCGGCGAGGATGATGATGGCTAGTTATGTGACGAATAAAGGAAAGTTAGCCTGTTTCAGGGAACAACATAAGCAGCACTTGCTTGTTGCATTATTGTACTGCACTTCCATTTCTTCCTAGGGCAACCTACACAAACTAACACCTCAAGGAAGGCGAATGAGGGGAGAGCTCATTGAAAGTTTTTAATAATCTGGTAACTAAGAAACACACTCACCTTTCATCAACACAGATACCTCTGAGAAACGAAAATTGAAGCACACCGGCAAGGCAGTGGAGTATGTCCGGCTTGTGCGGGAGAAAAGGGCAAAGCTCGCTCATGAGCAAGGACAGGATCTCAGTGGCCATGAGGTATATGCATGTATTGTGCTTGAGTGCATGTGCACTAGTGTGAAAGACATGTACTTCCATACATGTAGTTACTGCATGGGATGGAGAGGAAGTTTTTTTTGATTTTCAGCATAGAGAACCTGAAAAATCACACTTGGCACTGGTTCAGATCACATGTACCAAATGCTACTTATGTGCTTTTCTTCCTCCACGATTGCACCAACCAACATGCAGGTTGACAAGGGAGGGAGTGGCCCTCAAGAGCAAAGTGGCCATCAAGGGCAAAGTGCACCCCCGACTGATGAGGTATGTTGCAGTGGATGTTCCACCTGGAAAAGACTGCTTGAGAGCGAGGTTAGTTCATTCATGAAAAATATTTATAGCATACTAGCCACAGAGAAAAGAAAGAAAACCAGAAGTCACCCTCCACCCCCATCCTCCACCCAAGTACATACACAGACACAAAATGAAAAGCACTAAAATGCAAACCCTCGGCGAAGTAGCTGGCAGAGAGTCTGACACGGGCTAGCTACAGTAGTAGATAGCACGCGAGAGTCGATACACGCCATTCGTTATGACTTATTGTGCCTTCAAGATAGACAGAGCAAGCGGACCCGGTCGAGGTAAGCCTGTGCTAAATATAACCCCTTCCGCATTATCCGCCAGCGATAAAATGGCGACTACCGGCATTAGCCATACAATGGTGGAAGCGCTCTAGCTCTGCAACGGAACATTTTCAGAGAAAATCCCACCTATTTTCTGACCTTCGTCGCCTGTTGGGTTGATGGTATCCTTTGTGAGACGAACAAACACTCGAGAAGTGAGATTGAGAGTAACAGACAGACAGACAAACCCAACTACAGTAACCCTCGCAGCGAGGGTTAACAACACAGTTGCACACAACAAGGTAGGACACCAGGTTCCCAGCCTTCAGAACTGGGGCAGTGGGTTAAAGAGTCTTTTATGGCATGCCAACTCTCCCCACACACCGAGTGTTCAAACCCAATTAAAAATAGAAAGAACTAAAGTATAAAGGAAGAGGCAGTAAAAATCTCTGTGAAATAAGTTCGTACAAATATTGACAAATACAAAAATAGAAAATCTGGAAAGAAAGAACAAAAACTTACGCGCAGACCAGGCTACAGAGCGGCTTTGCAATGATTCTATTTAGTGCACAGTTGTATGCACACATTGTAAAAAAAAGTAAAAAAACGTGTCTTTTAAATAGATCTGCGTGATACGTGGCGACTCAAGAACGGATCCATTGCTGGTAAACATACACCATCTTCTATATGTCTGCGTACACTACAACCATATTTGTCTACAAACCACACATGTTTATTCGCAAACCGTCGAAAAACTACACACAATGCTGAGTACCTGAATCCTTGGCGAACAAGTCTTTGAGTAAGTTTGTAGTGCCTCACCGCAAAATGAGTTTAGTGCATAGCTAATTCGAATAGACCAATCAGATTTGTTAGTACGAGGTTCCTGATTTCTCATATGAACCTCGTGAGCTAACAAAAGTAACATGAAAACATGATATGAAACCTTGTTTTTTCTGTTGATTTTCAACAAGTTCAACAGCATTTCATGTAAGAAATGTATCCCGCAAAACATGATCTGTACAAAATGTTGATCAAAATAACTGATATGTTGATTTTCTTTTTATGATAAACAAACTCCAGACGTAGAGGCACATGCACCGTGCATTTCACCATCCCATTGCTTCTCTTGGCTAGGTAAGCAAGTATACAGTGACATGGAGATAAATAAAACAGATGGTGTGAATGGAGATGAACAGTTTCACTTGGAGAAGTTTATAACTACGGAGCTGCATGAATGAAAGTTGAATACACCCGGCATACTGGCCATATTGTACTGCGCGTTCGCGCACTGTATTTGAGGTGGGCGCGGCAGGCACGCCTCTTCTTGAATGTTCGTACACGTGGCTGATTACACTAAATAGGTCGTCTAGGTCGACATCTAGGTAGCCCTCGCTGGAGTCTCCGCAAAATTCTACTGCGTCCGGGTGCAGCAAGTCGCTCAGTTCCATCTCTTTTCCGAACTGTTTGTGCGTCTGTTTTTCGCGAGTCGTTTGAAAATCTGCCATGGAAACGTAGCTTTCGCGCGCTCATGCTCTGCACTAAACAGGTTAGACGCTGGAACGCTCTGGACCTACGTAAATTCAGAAACCCTCGGGCAATGTAGTGCCCTCGCTGCGCTCGGGACACCACAGCTCCGCCCTCGGGTTTCTGAATTTACGTAGGTCCCTCGCTTCCAGCGTCTAACCTATATATAGTTACTGCATATTCTACCTATACGTACAAGCTGGGAAACATAAACTCCATATGCAGGTCCAGATGGAATATTAGAAGAAAGATATGGATTATTATAATTGAAATTGTCTCGCTTGTCATATAATGCAGTTAAGTATTTCCCATTTTCTATAGTTACCAGTAAATCTAAGTACGACAGTTGTGTTTCACACTCCGTAGTTTTCTTCAGTTGGAGCTCGCAAGGGTATATGTCACTTATCACTGAATGAAACGCAGCATTATATAGTGTTAAAAGACCATCAATATTATCTCATTGTATTATTGAATTTCTTAGCCAACATTTGTTTTAGTTAGGCCTCTTACATACTGATATTCATAATAGAAGAGAAACAAATTTGCGCAATGGCGCACAATCCGTGCCCATCGGAATTCCCACACATTGTCTGTACACTAGCTCTATTGCCTATACTAACATAAATATTATCTATCAGATATTCCACATACGCAACAAGCTGTTCTTCAGTTATGATATGTTTCGATGATGATGATGATGATGGTGTGTTTCACCAATATGCTCTTCCAGTATGGTTGGCTATAAGGAACACACTGTCTCTCACTTTGTAGGCCTCCTTGATTAAAGATTGTAAGGCTTGTTTGAGCAAACAATGAGGAATACTCGTATATAATGTTGAAAAATCAAATGGTTAGGGATGGCTATTTCCCCAGGAATTTTAACAAAACGTTCTTTGTATTGTTTAAGAAATACCAGTCTCCATGATGAGGACCATCAGTACAACATGTGGCCAGGTCAGTAGCACACTGAACATCATAACCACCACCAAAGTCTGGTCTGGTCTCCCCACTTGACTGATGTTCACATATGAATGGTTGGAAAGAGTCTGGCCCATGAAAGAGGGACGGGGAAGGGTGTGAGAGTGGACCTCCACCAGAGACCAGAGGAGACTCAATATAAGTAGATGGTTGTACACCGTTGTACATACTTGCCATCGATCACGGAACATGTACATTGTGTCTCTAACTAAATGTGTTGCACATACACAAGTGTATCTATAATAATGCGTGCGCTCTGCTGACGGGTTGGCATGTTCATATACAAGTGGAAAAAATGATTTCTTCAAAATGAAGGGGGATATAAGGATGGCTTGAAGCACCAAAAAGGAAGAAACAAAGGGTCATTACACAGCAAAGATGCACAAAGCTACATGACACCATCCCTACATATTTTTTCCTCTGCAGGTCTGTCAACCCGCCTGGTTATACGCGCGAACAGCGCATTGGACAACGCCCTCGTCAGGCGCATGCGCGCGGCGCACTGATGCATGCATTGTTCAGTGTCAACATAAAACTGGCTAAAACTACAAACAAAATTCTTTCTGTTGAGGTGTACAAACTGACATAGTATTGACATTAATAATGTAGCAAAAACAATGTTCAAAGGAGGGCTCTGTGCACAAGCCATGTCCACTGTCACACAGGTTCATAGTCTCCAACAGCTGCAGTGGTAGGTTGAGAGGTGGTGGTGGGAGGATAGTTTTGTGGTACTTAATATTCATCTTCAGCTGCCGTTCCAGTCCCTCTCACTACATTATAGGCCTCGTTACTGGTGGTCTGGAGCTGGTCTGGATCTCTGGAGAGTACAGAAATCATCTCACAGTGTTTCATATGGGGAGACTTACCCATAAGTTACTGCTGAGAACTTAGAGAGCTCCACTGATTGATTTTGTTGCTCCAACTGTAGCTCTGTATGAAATGCAATGACATTATTTTCTTATACTAATGTAAGAGTGTATGATTGTGCCTTGTTTTTGCAGAGTAATTTCCACTGCGACTTCTCAGCACCACTACCACTATGACTGTTAGTGAAGTAGCAATTATAAGAACCACAGCCACGGCCACTACTCCACCGACAATGGCTGAAGTGTTCTCTGTATCGCAGCTTGAACTCTCTGCCTGGCAAAAATCAATGGCTGGAACAAACAAAAAGAGTTATACAAGGTCAACTATGAAGCAAAAAACTATCATTTACCACCAGTGGAGAAAAGTATGGGAGTGCTGTCAGTGGTTCCAGCTACATTATAGGCTGATACAGTGAGTGTGTAGATAGTGGAGGGGTCCAACTCGTCAATGGTGTAGGTAGTACCAGAAAGATGACCACTGGTGCTCTCAGTGCCTCTGTCAGTGGGTCTCCAGACCACTTCTCAACTGACCACCCTCCCACTGGACACACTCCAGGAGAGGGAGATGGAGGTGGCTGTTATGGAGCTCACTGACACAAACACCTGTCCTGGAGCTGTGACTGGAATAGGGGATTACATTTAGATGAACTGTAGGACCCTATCTCTCTCTTACTTAGTGTGATTTGAAATGTGGTGGCATCACTGAAGAGGTGTTCAGATATTGCTACAATGGATATGGTGTAGGTCTGTCCATTGGTGAGACCAGTCAGAGTGTAGCTGTTGGTAGAGCCACCATCAATATCCACATCACTGCCTCCAGTGAAGGAGATCCTGTAGCCAGTGGTACCTCCCAGTGGAGAGGGAGGAGTCCAGGTCACTGTGATACTAGTGGGACCATCCTGGACTGCTGTCACATCAGTGGGAGGTGGGGGACCTGAAAGGGAACCACTCAACCATTGGGAAGTATATAGGGATCTGAAACTGTATCCATAGGAACTTTCAATTTGTAGTATTGAGGAAATCATGCTGTTGACCTGCCCACCTAGACACTTTGCAACTATTAATATGAGGCGGATACTTTATTGCCAAACTTTAATTGGTTCACAAGCACTAGGAGAGTATATACCCGTAGCTCTGTCAACACTGAGAGTTAAACGTGCATCTCTGTCCTCATTCCACATAATTGGTGAGCAAGCTAGCCTGTCTGAATGCAGGGCACATACCGTACAACCGCAAAATATAGTTCGCTTGCCAAGAATGTGTTGCATTTCATGTAGTATTCAGCCTGCCATGCACACTGGCCAAAACAGTGATTTGCGGACATTATTACTGACTCTATATATACCTGATACAAAGGTGCTAGCTGAATCAGAAGAGGGCTTGTTATTAGCCACGGTACAAGTGTACTGTCCTGCAGTAGTCACAGTCAGAGTGTGGGTGTACTGTGCAGTCACTGGGTTATTCAACACAGTCTCGTTTTGCTTTCCAGTGATATTGACATTGCCTCTGGTCCAAGTGACAGTGGTAGCAGGTCCACCAGTGGAGACACAGGTGAGGGTCAGCTGGCTAGGGTCAAATGCCACTCCTTCAGATATTGAGATGTCTCCTACAGTAAAGAACAAAAGCCTAAGGGTCCTAATTGCTAATCGGCAAAACATAGTAACTGTGAGTGAGTGCATGAGTTACTGAAATAGGAATTCATGTGGCGAATGAGGAAAATCATAGATGCATTCATGCTAGCTGATATCTAACAAGAAATGGAAGTTAAATTTACCTCCAGTGGCAGTATACAGTCCCACATAGACTGGTGCATCTCTCACTGAGATGTCAGTAACATCATGGACAGCATTAGTTGGAATATCACAGCGAAAGATACCAACTGGTGAGTTAGCATTAGTGTTACGGCGTAGCTCTACACTCTGAGTTACACGAAACTCATGGATATCAACATTAGGTGCAGGGAAAAGCAGTCTAGTTCCATCAGGGAAATACCAGTCTCCACGATGAGGACCATCAATACTTGTACAACATGTGGTCAGGTCAGTGATACACTGAACACCTTCACCACCACCAGGAAGATCAGGTCTCCCCACTTCACCGAGGTTCACATAGGAATGGTTGGCCAGAGTTTGGCCCATGAAGGAGACATAAGGAAAGGTCTGAGAGTGGACCTCCACCAGAGACCAGAAGAGACTCAACAGAGACACAATTCTCATCATTGATCTGTTGCACATCACTACAACCACGGACTGAGCAACTGAGTTAACATAGGCTGATGGATGGCAGAGATAAAACACTCCCAATCTAGACATATATGGAAAACAGAAAATTCCGGCCCTCCACTGGCGTTTATCAATGTATACTTATAATAACATGATGTGTAATGTCCAACAGTAGTACACATAAACTACATCTAATATATAGATAGAAAGTCAGTCATGTACTGGTTGCAGAGGTCCGGCACATCTTGCTGGACCCAGTGACTGGAGTTGGGAATATGTCTAGAGAGGAGAGAGGAGAGAAAAGAGAAACACAGTATTGGTGGAACAGCTGAATCTCCCACTAACTTCACAGTCAGGTAAGAGCAGTTGGTGTCGTGGCAGTCTGCCATCTCTCTCTGCAGCACGTGATCATCATCTCCCTGTACCAACAGTTACACACACACACACACCTAGTAAACACTGCCGGGCACTCATCTTACAAACCATAGTGGTAAATTGAGGAAATTTATCTAGAGTACATTCGTAACTTGGAATGTTCTATAATTATAGAGCATATTGATTATGTAGAGGTCTGGGGATCACTCTATAGTGTTGTCTGTGGAGAGAGAGAAGCTACACAATGAAGGGAGTTCCTTACAACATTTTTGATAATTAAACTTCAAGGTTTGATATGGCTATGCAATAAGGGGTGAAACATTAAAACATCGTTCTCTTTCTTTACACTACCTCATATCGACAGCCACCGCATGGTAGTAGTCTTTGCTGAAGGCCCTCAACTGATGACGCCAGGAAAACCAGAACTGCATAACATCACGGGAATGTGTGAGTGAAAGAGGTGACATCGGGGAAACCGTGAAGCAGCAACATGAGCCAGGGCACTTGGAACATGAAGATGTACTGACATGCGGAAAAGAGTGAAGCTATAGTGAACACACCCACATATCTAGCCACTATTAAACCTTCGTACCGTGGTTTACATAATAGTGAATAATGCTCAGCCACTAGGCCACATATAACCTTCTGGTAAGTACAACACAAAGTATAAGCTTAAACTTATCAAACATGTACCACACAATAGCTGTTACCAGAGTAGCGACAGTCAAAACACTCAATCACGGAGACCTACATGTGGTACTGACTTTTGCCAAGAAGATTTGACCCAACACATACATTGACGTACTGGGAGACCCCCAGCTGCACAGTGACGCTGTCATTAGAGAGTTTGAGGCTCTCTGACCACTCACAAAACATGACTGTGTTTCTTTTTTACTGTGTGTTCATTTTCCATTTTGTATACCATGGTGTGGGGTGGTTGACATATCACGAGTTATGAGTGATTATAAAAAAAACTGTCAAATGGCAATTGAAAGAGCAATCTTAAAAACAAAGGGGTGAAGACAAACAAAAACTTCTACCACGTCATCACACACGGAATGTCAGTGTCAGACAGGTTCATAGAAGTTGTCTCCAGCTGCAGGCCAGGACAACACTTCTGCCATTATTGGTGGAGTAGTGGCTGTGGTTGTTGCCTTTATGATCATAACTTCACTGACAGTCATAGTGGTAGTGATTCTAGTGTTGAGAAGTCGCAGTGGGAATTACTCTGCAAAACAAGGCACGACCATACACGCGTACATTAATATCATTGGGTTTGATAAAGAGCTAGAGTTGAAGCTACAAATCAATCAGTGGAGCTCTCAAAGTTCTCAGAGGCAACATATGCGTAAGTCTCCCATATGAAACACTGTGAGATGATGTCTATACCACTGATGGCCTCACTCCAGAGATCCAGACCAGCTCCCAGTAATGAGGCCTACAATGGAAGGACAGCTGAAAATGATTATGAAGTATCACAAAACCTCCTCCCACCACCACCTTTCAGCCTACCGCTACTGCTGCTGGAGACTCTCTCTACGAACCTGTCTCATGTGTGCGGTAGCGACGTGAATGATTTTGCGCATGCGTAGTTTGTCGGGGTCGGAGCGATGCGTAATTGGCGTGTATAATACGTAAGTACTGAATATCGGCTCTGGTGCTGCAGAAATAAACTAGCTATATACAACGCCCTCGCGAGAAACTGAATAGTGATGAACGTCGCATCGTTATCGTTACTTTTCTGGTCTCTGGTGGAGGTCC